AAAAAAAAAAAAACCCCAACAAAACCCAAACAAAAGCCCCCAGACATCTGAACCACACTTCTTCCCCAGCACCAAAAACATGTACAACTTTACAGGCTGGAGTAGTAAGGTTATATATAGCACTGCAATTTAATTCACATGACAATTAAAAAATACATGAAATGGTCTTCCTTATGCATGAGAAAAGATTATCAGAGTTTTCCCCTTTTCCTCTTTTAGCTTATTAAAAATGTAACTACTTCAAGAGTAATAAATTAACTCGGAAAGGATTGCTGAAGTGAGACACAAGTTGTGATTAAAGGAAGTTTGGAGTTCAGGAGAAGTCTGTGTTTGAAAAACGTCCTCAGTATTTGGAGTATTGCTTATGGCTTTTGACAACTAATTTGGGAGAAAAGTGGTAGGGAATGAACCTCAACAGGAAATGCTCTTGTTTTTTGTCACTTTGTGACATTACTGAAACACCGTTTCCCCTCATTTGTATTTCCCCCCGCCCCAGAAGTTTGTATTAAAATGTATCAAAACAGAAAACGACTTTGAAAAAGGCAGCAGAACTGTCATAAAGGATGATGCCAGCTTGTTGGGAGGTTATGCTTTATTATGTAAATCCATGTTTGGGGGTATTTTAAAATGCATATTGTATAGTTAGAGGCAGCTAAATAGCTAGATAAACTATACTGCTTCCAAATAAAGCGTACAAATCCATAACGTAAGTGCCAGGGGCACGACTTCTTGCAGACCTGCAACCTACCTGATTGACCAAAACTGTCCCTCATCTTTACCAGTCAGTCCCACTTGATGGAGAACTGGCCACGAGACTGCTGGTCCTTGCCAAACCCCACTGCTCAAATCCACCTTGTCTTACTGCTCCTGGGAAAAGGTTCCTGCAGTGCTCTCCCTTGGGTAATTCTGTAGAGTTGAGTACCACGAGCTTGAATTCAGCTTGGAGCAGAAGGAAATAAAACTTCAGCTTGCACATAAATCCTTCATTTACTTACATATAGAACCAATGAAACAGTGCAATTTCCCCTTCTTTTTCTGTAATTTACAAACGGTTAAAATTATTTTCTTGGCAGAAACATCCATTTCTTAACTGCTTAGTGCCCACGCTGGTGGCACCAGGCTGCAGCAATGGCTCTGTAAGTACCAGCGCTCACTCTGGAGATACCACGAGGGACTGGATGAAAAACTTGCAATGCATAATTTATTCAGTGAATATAGGCCTTTTTTGTGCTTTCAAGAACTCCGGGGAAGGCAGGTGGGCTTGGCTGGCTTTTTTTCAGTTTGCTAAAATTCTTTAAGGAACAGTAGTGTGCATGCAGCGCCTGGATGTCAGCAGCTTGTTAAGAGATGCGTTTTCATGTTGGCAATTCAGGTATGGGTTTCGCGTGGACTGCCCGGACAGGTGCCATGCACCTCCTGGGCTCTGGCGCCTGCAAAGGGCAAATGTTGGAAAAGAACTTCTAGCGAGTGCCGAGACACTTTGCATAACATCCACGGTTCAGCTGGCTCAATTTCGCCTAAATGTGCCTGAAATCTGCAGCACCTCGCGCGTCTGAAAAAAAAAAATCATAGCGTAAGCGGGGGTTGGTAGTCATTAGAGATCTGCGAGAAAAATGACACGCTGCGTGGCCGTGCGCTGACCGGGGCACCGGCCTGCCGCTCCAGCCGGGCCGGGCCAGGCCGGGCGGGGGCACCGCCGCTCCCCTCCGCAAACTTCCCGGGGCACAAAGTTTGCCGGCAGTTCCGCGCCCGCCCGCGGGGAGGGTGGCGGGGCGCAGCGCGGGGGGCGCGCCCTGCCCGCCGCCCCCTCCCCTCCCTTCCCCTCTGCGGCGCGGCGCGGCCCCGCCCCGCCGGCAGCCCCGCACCGGGCGGCCGCGGCCGCAGCGCCCCCGCCGCGGGAGGGGAGCGCGGGGGGCGGCGGCGGGGGCGGCCCCGGCGCTGCGCCGCGGCCCGTGCGCGCCGCTCGGCGGCGGCCCCGCCAGCGCTCGGCGGCGGCAGCGGCGGGCGTCCGCATCCCTGCGTCCTCCCGGCGCGCTCCCTCACCTCGGCGGCGATCGCCTCCCGCCCGCCCCCGCCCTCCCCTCCCCCGCACCGCCACACGCACACGCACTCCCGGCGCTGTGTGCGAGGGCGGGCGCCGGGAGACGGGCGGCGAGCAGCGCGCCGGCAGAGGAGACCACCGCGCACACGCACACACACACTCCCTCCCGCCCGCCCTCCCTCTGTGCCTGCTCCTTCCTCGCCCCCCGCCGCCTCCCCTGCTCCCCCCTCCTCCTCCTTTCTCTGCAACGAGCTAGAGAGAGAGAGAGGGGGGAAAAAAGCCACTTACAGGTATTTGTTTAGTGGATCGGCGCCTTAATTTATCCCCCCCCCCCCCCCCCCCCACCTTCCCCACCGCCCCTCGCAGTTTGTTTACAAGTATCAAAGTTGTAATTGAGGAGCTGCCAAGGCACATCTGGATATTTTTCTTCTTCTTCTTCTTCTTTGTGTTAGGGACTGATGTGCAACTAATTAAAGGCAGACAGGCTGGTAGCGTCTGCACACTCAAGCCCCCCCAAATAAAGAGCCTGGTAAGTGACTGGTTTGCTTTCCCCCCTCATCTTTACCCCCCTTATTCTTCGCGGTTTTTTTTTTCTTTTTTTCTTTTCTTTTTTTTTTTTTTTTTGTGTGTGTGTGTGTGTGTGTGTGTGGTTTCGGGTTTTAGTTTGGGGTTTTTTTAGAGAGGTGGGTTGTTTCTTTTTTTTTTAATTTTGTGGGTTTGTCGGGGGCTCTTTTTTTTCTGTTGTTCTTGTTATCTGGGATCGTAAAAGTAGATTAATGCTAGACTTGGGCAATAAAAGGCGTCGCTATATTAATTTATTAATTAATCTGCACCCGCCCCTCCTCCTGAATCTTAAATATGACCTTTGATCTCTCTGTCTTTGGCAGAGCAGACATGCAATATTGAACATGCACGGTCACATTTAGCTTAAGCAGGGACAGAATCGCAAAGCCCAGCTAGCAATTTCTAGTTATTTATTTCATTCGTGGAAAAGAGGGCGATAGTTGGAGGGGGAGGGAAATCAATAACTGCGTCTCGGGTACCCTTTTCATGCTCCGGAGATGCATCGATTAAACAATAATGACCCGGTTGGTGGGCACCATCATTTTCTCGCTGCTGGTGGCAATAAAGCCTGAGAGGGGATCGCGGGGAGAGAAAAGGTAGCCAGCGAGGGAAGGTTTTGTGGAGATAAGCCAGTTTAATGCTGGGGGAAATAGGGCAAGAAAATGCATATGACTTCTGGCATAAAGGGCTGAACGCTAATATTTTATTCCTTACCAGATGCGTGGCTTTCGTACACATGGCTGGCAAAACTAGTTTCATTGAGTAGTTGTTATCGAGGACATGCAGCTAGGTTTTCCTTTCTGGAAACGGGGAAGGTTTTTGGATTTTTTTTGCTGTAAGCAAATCCTTTGCATCCCTCCACAAGACGACGCTTAGCCTAGAGCTTTCCGGGGCAGCCTTTGTATTGCCACTAGACCTCTGAAGGCAGCGAGAGTCTGGGTTTTTCCCTGACGTGGAAACAGAGGTGGCTCCTGAGAGCTCGGGGTCTTTTTTTTTTTTTTTTTTTTTTTCTTTTTTTTTTTTCCCCCGACGGAAGGACGCCCGCCAGTCCCCAGTGCAGCCGGGGGTGAGGTTCCTTGTGTAGATTTACGCTCCCTTCATCTGGATTTGTTTACATAAAGCCTGCTTTCAGTGCACGACGTTGGGAGAAGACGAAGTTTTTGCACTCGGTAGGTTGGGCTGCAAACGGTTCATTAATCTAATTATGATCGTAATTACCGTAATTGATAACCATTTTGAACTAAACATACCAGAGTCTGGAAACTAGACGTAGCCCCACGAGTGCCTCACGAGTGAGCGTTTCTGATAGCCCTGCATCAGAAAAGATGCTGGAAATATCTGAACTATTCAGGTAGAGCATCTGGAAAACAAAGAGGCAGTGTTCATAAACTGAGGGCTTTTTAAGTTATGCTTATGTTTTGCTTTAGTTCGCGCAGGCTGCCATAATATACCTTCCTCATTGCCATGAACTAAAATACCCCCATTGACCTCCCTGGGGGAGAAAGGGGGCGGTAGGAAAAAAAACGGACCCCGTGCCCTTAGCCCCCTCCTAAACTTTCCTAGCCTGGAGCAGAAAGCCGTCTTTCCCCGATGAAGGCTAGTTCAGCAGGTACAGCGACGTGCCCCCCCGAGCGTTCCCGGGCTGTCTCTCGGCGAAGCCCCCTGTCCTGCGGCGCCCACAGAGGGGCTGTCCCCGTCTCGGTGTGTGTGTCCCCAGCCCTCCCTGCGCAGCCCCCGGCGGCGGTGACGGGGAATCCTCCCCGAGAGGCTGGGATAAATACTCCGTGGTTAGTACAGCTGCAGGCGCCGGGATCACAAGCTGTGAAATTGCTTAAGTTTTTTGGTTTGGGTTTTTTTTCTTTTTTTTTCCAAACCTAGCCCCGTGCCCCCCGCGGCCTGCAGGCAGCCCCCCCATACCCAGAGGCGGCGGGGGGGCCGGGGAAGCCGGTGCCGCCGCAACCAGCGCCCGGCGGAGCCAGCTGTGCCGGCAGGCAGCTAATGACCGCCGGGCTCAGAAGGACACCGTGGCAGCTGGCGGCTCCCTCCCCCACCTCCCTCTTTTTTCTTTTTTTCTAATTCCTTTTATTTATTTCCCCCCCTCCCCGCTCTTTCTCCCTGCTTTTTCATTTTTCCCGGTGCTGGTAGGTGGGCAGCTCCCGGTCCCGTGTCGTGTCCCCCGCCCCCCACCTTGTCCCGGGACCGGGCTTGCTCCACGCGCTTCGAGCCCGCGGGTACGGCGGCGTGTGCCCCCCACCCGTGTGTGCTCTCCCTCCCCCGGGGTGGCCGTGGGCGGCCGTCAGCGCCCCCCGCGCGCGCACCCCCTCGGAAATGACTTTTTGTGTTTCAGCTGCGGCAGCTCCCGTGAGGATGCCGGAGGAACGGCTGCCCGGCCAAGCACCGACCGCGGGGATGCGTCCGGAGGAGGAGGAGGATTAAGCGACCCCCCCCCCGCCCCGTCCCTCTCCCCCCGGCCCCCCCCCCCCCCCCCCCCCCCCCCCCCCCCCCCCCCCCCCCCCCCCCCCCCCCAACACCAACGTGTGCGTGGAGAGCGGCCCCAACCCCGAGGCGCCGGGGCTGCCCAAGGACAGCCACCTGCCCGAGGGGGCCCTCAACAGCCTTGTGGATTACAACTCGGAGATGGAGAGGTACCGCTCCTTCGCCACCTTCTACAAGACCAACGGCGGCGCCTTCCCCCAGGCGGCCAAGATCGCCCGCATCACCACCCCCATCTTCCCCAGCGCGGCCGCCGCCGCCGCCGCCCGCATCGGCATGTCCCCCTGGAACTGCGACACCGCCACGGCCGCCGCCGCCACCGCCATGCTCTGGGGCAGCGGCGGCGGCGGCGGCGCGGCGGGCGGCGCGAGGAAACCCTCCTCCTCCTCCTCCGCCGCCGCCGCCGCCGCCTCCGCGGCCGCCGCCGCCGCCTCCTCGCTGCACGCCGGCAGGGGCGGCATGCACCACCGGAGCGACTCGCAGCGGCTGGGCAAGCCCGGCTGCCCGCCGGCCGAGCAGCCCGCCCTGCCCATGGCCAACGGCAACTTCCTGTCCACCCTCGCCCCCGAGCACTGCCGGCCGCTGGCCGGCGAGTGCATGAACAAGCTCAAGTGCGGCGCCGCCGAAGCCGAGATCATGAACCTCCCCGACCGCGTCGGCACCTTCTCGGCCATCCCTGCGCTGGGCGGCCTCTCCCTGCCCCCCGGGGTCATCGTCATGACGGCCCTGCACTCCCCCGCCGCGGCCTCGGCCGCCGTCACAGACAGCGCCTTCCAGATCGCCAACCTGGCGGACTGCCCGCAGAGCCACGCCTCGGCCTCGCCCGCCTCCGCCCTGGGCGCCGCCGCCGGCGCGGGGGGCGGCGGAGGCGGCGGCGGTGGCGGCGGAGGCGGAGGGGGGGCTGGCGGCACCGGCGCCGGGGCCGGGGCCGGGGCGGGCAACCCCGCCAAGAAGAAGCGGAAACGCTGCGGGGTGTGCGTGCCCTGCAAGCGGCTCATCAACTGTGGAGTCTGCAGCAGTTGCAGGAACCGCAAAACGGGACACCAGATCTGCAAATTTAGGAAATGTGAAGAGCTTAAGAAAAAACCGGGCACTTCGTTAGAGGTCAGAGGAGATGATTTCTTTTTCCCCAGCCTCCCGCCGTCCCTCCTCAACCCCCTGCCCCCGCCCCTCCAGTGCTTCTTGTCTAGCTTCAAGATGCAGCATCCCTTCTCCGAGGCCTCCTTCAGGCTCTGAGGGAGCCCCCGCCGCGGGCGCGGCTCCCCGCGGCGCGGCCCCGCCGCCCGCCCCTCTCCGCCCCGCAGGGAAGAGAAACGCCGCCTCCCGCGGCGCCCCGCCGAGCCGGCCGCCGGCCCCCGGCCCCGGGCCGAGGAGGGACGGCCGGGGGGCGCCGGCCCCCGCCCCGCCACTCGTGGCCGTTACGGAACGATGCTAACCTGGTTTATCTGCCGTGCTGTTTCCATAAGACTGCTGGCTCTCTGGTTCCTTTTTCTTAATTTTTTTTTTTTTTTTTTAATTTCTCTCCCCCCGTTTTTTGTTTTTGGTTTTGTTTTTTTTTTTTTTCTTGTTTAATTAATGGCAATCATGATTCGGGGCCGTTTGTAGGAGCAGGGAGGTGGGAAAGGGAAAGTTTTAGCTGAACACCAGGCTCTCGCTGTCAGAAGTTTAGGGAAAGCAATGGCAAGTTCATCTCCAGGTTGGCTGGTAGCAGTGTGTCCCAGACAGACAACGGGCCACGGAGCCCAGTAGTAGATGAAACACACCCAAGTCTTTGGCAATGTCTTTCATGAAATAATGGTGTATTGAACCAAATGGAAGAATAGCACAGGTATGACTGAACTGATTTCTCACTGAACTGTATGTATGGTTATTTTTACAACGTTTCCTCGGAACTGACAATGTATTGTGTTCTCCAAAGCTGTAACAACAGGTTTTCAGATTTGCTAGACGTGCAAGAGACAGGCAGATCCCGTGTCGCAGACATTTCGGTTATTGTATTGGGTAGGACAGACAATGGGAACCAAAATACACAACCGTGAGGAAAATGGCAATTGGATGGTATCATTAGGGGAAGGAAACAAGTGAGAGGAAAGACTAGTAATCATACTTAATTCCTTGTCATTATAAAAATTACAGTGTTGCTGGTTTGACACACGTCTCAGATGCGTCTGAAGGTGTCGAGGATGATGGATTTAGTACAGAGGAGTAGTGTGTGGTGGGTGACACCAAGATTTGTAGACACAGAAATCAGCAACTAAGTGAGAAATTGCAACTTCCCTCTGTGTGTGTGTGTGCCTGTGTGTGTTTGCATAGCGGTTTATTCCCTTGCTCATTGCTCGCAGGAGCTCTCTCCAAGAAGAGATGGGATGAGGGATTCCAGGGAAAAAGCAACACTTAGAGCCAATTAATTTGTTCAGTGCTAAATAAATTGAGATAATAGTGTTGGTATTGACACTGTCATGGGACAAAAGCAACATTTGGGGGTTCACTGACACTTGGCTGATAGCATTAACTCTTTCCTAACCAGCCTCATCAAAACAACTAATTAATTCCTTCTTTCAAGAGTGAACTGTCCCTGCTGAAAGTTTAATTCTTAGCTCTGCATCCTTTTAGCTCTTTTTTCGTGAATGGTGACCCAGCATTGCTAACACAAAAACCAGGATGGACTTTCCAGGGGATAGAAACTAGACTAGGTTTTCAGCTCTTGCTTTTCTCAATAATATTCCTTTTTTGGTTTTGTAGCAAGTTTGCAAAAACGGTAGTTAACACCCTGGTCTGTTAGTGCTGAGTACAGTGTAAAAGAGACTCCCTGAACCAGAGACATGGAGAATTCCCCCCACACTACCCAGCACTGAGAGTGCCTTTGTGTGCCAAGTTCCCTCATTAGGCTTGCAAACCAGGGTGCTGCTGGGATTTAATGTTTGTGATAAATGATAGGTTCTGATGGTTTATCGATTTGTGCAGAAAGTGAGCTATCTCTGGAAGAAACAGATTTGTACATTATCAGATCTTCCTATGGGTTTGTGCGCATCTCTGAGCACATTTCCAGAACTTCTTTGCTCCTGACAAAGGTGTTTGGTAGTGTTAAAAACTTTTAAGGTGTGCTATGAGAATGCCTCCCGTTAAAATCATTTAACCACTGTGACTAGTAAAACCCATGGTTTAATTAGCCACTTGTGTGCTCTCATAACCACCTGCCTTCACTTCTTCATTCTCTCTTTCCCCCACTTGCTCTCTCCTGTTTGTGCTCCGTCAGATACGTAAACACAAAAGCTCCTCTGCTGCTGTACTGTTACTCGAAGGAAACGGGTTTCTCTTTCCAGCTGTGGAGATGTCAATAATGCATCGCTTCTCTGCAGGTCATGGCCCATCACAAAGTTTGTCACAGGATGTGGCTAATTTCTTTACAGAAGTGTGGTTTGTAAGTAGGAGAGGAAGAATAACTTATTTACATAGTTGTTTTCCTTATATCTTCTTTCTTCTTTATAAAAAATTAAAATTAATAAAGTGACAGAAGGGCTGCCTACAACACAGTTGCAGCAGCAGTGCTCTGGCTGTGTGGCCACCAGCTGGCAAGGTGTCAGAGGGTGACAGGGCCTCCACGAGGGCCCTGTGGCAGAGGTGTTGGTGTTGGGGGTGGGCAAGCACAGCCTCCCTGCAGAGTGAGTGGCTGGAGTGCCTCTTTGGCCTGTGCTCCTGGAGGATCCACCACTGCGTGTGGAGGGTCGCCTGGCACCTTGCCTGGCACACTCCCATGGATATGCATCAGGGATTGAGGGGCGCACATTCCACTGCACACTTAGATGATTTGTGAATTGTGCTGGACAGTGGCTGCAAAGGGCAGGGGTGATTTACAATGGGGGGGTGGAACCATGTTTAAAAACAAATGGAAACTTTGAAAAATAACAATAAACCATAAGCTGGCTGATCCTACATAAACCATTTCTCTCATTTTCCTTTAAATCTCTTCTACTGATACAATGGTGGCATAGGATATAACTCTCAAAGATAGTATATGGAGTTGAAGACAGATTCACGTGAATGCTTTCCAGTTCCTGACCCTTGCATTTTTCATGGAATGCTTCTCGCCCAGCATTTTTTTTTAAACACTTGAATTATTTTTCCTACTTTTCTTGTACTGTTTTCACATTAAAAGTGTCCCAATGCTCTAGTATTTTTCATAGAATGTTATTATTACTAGGAAATTTTATGTACGGCAATAATAAATCTATAAAAATCAGATTGACGTCACGTTGCACGCTGCCTACTTGTGTATGTATATTCTGTGTTCATTCAGATTTACAGTTGGTTTAAAGAGACATAATCTTTATTTACCCATAGAGACTACTTATTTTCCTCTGATTGGGGCACATGTCTGTAACTTCTGCTGCAGGTTATGAAGATTAGGTGCCTGACAGTAGTTCACATCCTTCTGTCTTTTAAGCGAACCCTATTCGGTGTATGAATCTCAGTTGCCCCAGTGTTCATTTTAATTAGCATGACAGCAAGTTCAGGCAGAGAGGCTGACTTGCATTGGCAGGGGCTGAAGGGTCCTGCCAAATGTGAAATATCAGCTGTTTAGGCATGCTGTCATCATAGCGGGCACCACTTGCTCCCTTTGTAACAGCCCAGCTAATTGATATGTGTGCTGTTAAAGTGAGCGTTTGCATACCAACCTGACTGAGTCAATACCAGCCTCCAAATCCGAGGCACTTGGCTGAGCTGTGCTTCAAGGCAGTGGGATTTTGAGATGGCCTTCTCCAGGGATAGGTTGTGATGATTGATTTCAGCAGGAACGGCGTCTGATCCTGAAAGTCTTAACACCATATGGCATTGCCACGGGGGAGAGAGGCTGCGCTGGCAACCTCCGAACTCGCACTTCGTGTTGCGGTAGCGCGTGCGAGCGCTGTTAAGGGAAGACTGCTGAGCTCTGTGGATAGGGGTCAATTAGTAGGGGCCTCAGAGGAAGCAATTTCCCCGCTGTCTATCTGGCTTTAAATTACATGCACAAGTTAAGTGACGGCATGATGGAATTGAGCAGTGGTGAGGGGGAACTGTAAAGTCTGATAAGAAGCAGGCGGCTAACACGATCCAGCGGGCTAACTGGAAGGTGGAAAGAAAGACCACCTTGTAGCTCGTGTTGCCATTCATCCCTAAACATCAGCAGTGCTGCTGTATGACAACAGGCTGTCTCTCCTACCTGCCACTGTCTCATAGCCCTCCATCTGGCTGAGGCTCCCTGTGTGCATGTGTTAAACGCTTTGCAAAAGGGCAAGAAAGCAGTCCTTGTTCCAGGGCGTTTAGAGCTGGAGCAAGAACTGCCATCTGCCCCGAGCACAATTTTCATTGGCGTTGGCTGCAAAGCCCTGATCAGCCCTGAGAGCTGTTTTTTCCCCTCTTTTCTCCTTTTTTGTGACTATGGTAGTCTGCCAGGGTTCTCTTGTTCTTCTCAGGCCTGAGCCTGCAGGGAGTGTGCCTGGCGCTGGAACTGGCTGCTAGCACCATAAGAGAGCCCTCACTGGGTGACTGTGACCCTCATGCCTGGGGCTTCCAACATGGTGAATGATCCTTCTGTGACAGTGTGAGCAGGGAGGGGAGGAAGTGAGAGGCAGGGCTAGATCTGGCCTTTGTTAAACATTTTGCCATGAGATTTAGTCACTTTCCTTCAGATACTGCGTGCATGCATTCAATGATGAGTTTTCCTTTTGACCTCCGAAGGTTCCTGGGGACACCAGGCCTCCTACTGCCACATCCAGCAGAGACCAGAGCAGCTACATCTTTGCTCACCAGTGCCTGATTGCTGCTCAGAAATCTCCTTGAAGGGAGTTGACCTTCTGCGTTAGGTTCACGTCTTGCAGGGCAGGAATGTGCTGCAGTTGGTGGGAGTCATGGGGTTGAGGGATATGTTTAGAGCCCAGAGGAGACAAACTTGGCCTCCTTGCAGTTCTGGCAGATGACTGAGTGCAAATGATTTCCTCTGAAATGAAATGTGGTTAGATGGTGCCTGATTTACCATTTCATATGTTGTTGTTTCCCTTTCCTCATGTGATGCTTGCAAAGCAGAGGAAGTGCCCAAATCCCATGACATTACTGTTCAGTTTAGA